GTTGTTCAGTGTAATACAATCACTACAATACCAATCATTCCCAAAGAATTTAGTGGAACTCATAGACAGGGTAAAAGAAGCTTATGAGTTGTTCAACCCAGTGTTGAATAAATATTGTTGGATAACACTACAATGTTGCATGGAAGAAATACTCAAACACCTAGGAGGGAATAACTTCATCCCACCACACAAAGGGAAGAAAAGGCTTGAAAGGATTGGGATGCTACCAGAACAATTACAGGTGGACAGCAGGGTGGTTCAACAAGCTGTTGACTACCTCAATACCATTTTCATATCAACTAATGAAGCAAATGAAGAAGATGAAGGGATGCAAGTTAATGCAGACTGAACACAACAACTGACACAGGAAGAAGGTTTAGTGAGACTGCCACACATAACCAATGAAAGGAAATGAAGCAACAAGAATCATTGTATGTCATGTTTTATGTTATTTTTGTGTGTTGTTCATTAGTGTAAGTTAATCATTGGTTATGTGTGTTTTGTTGTAAGTCATGCCTATTTATATTGTATGGCAGTCTAAGCAACCTTCATTTGGACAATGTAAACCTTTTGGTTTAATTAATGATAAAAATTGTGGAAGGTTTATTTACAACTAGGGACACATACTATGCATCAAATATGCAAAACACAGTGACAAATAAATCCATCAGAGGGGTTTATTTTTTTTCACAAAAATTACATAATTGGTTCCCTCAAGAACAACTCTTGTATCAAGTTGTTGGAGCAATTCCAAGTTATGAATTTGTTGTATCAAATAAGTCCCTTCATCATATGGATTTTCCAACCAAACACAACAAACCAAGGGACTCTTAATTGACAAAGGGACAGATAGTTCTTTAGGGGACTCAAACAGGTTAATCATCATTCAACATATCAATAACCCCAATGGCATTGGAACTCCTAATTAGTTCAACCTCCAAGTTATACTAAATCAATTCAGGCAAATACCCAAGAATCACCACATAGCACAGGAGGCAAGGAAAGGTCACACATAATTGAACACAGAGCCTAATTAGGCAAACCAACTTATCAACCCTTCAACAGGATACAATAATTGTGAACAAGTGTAAACACAGCAAACACAACATAAGTAGGGCAACCATCATGCAACTGAGACTACTAATCACAGGGCATTTGAGCCTTCCAAACATACACAACACAACATAATAATTAGGCAACTATGAATCTGCACAGCTATTAACAAACCCATCGCAGCATAACTCAAACTAATAATCACAGAAAATGACATCAAAGGACGTTTAAACCCAACAATTGCAACAATTAGAATCAGCAACTGCCAATACACCAAACAGACCCAGGTAAGGCCAACAACAATCAAAATAAGGCAACACAACACAAATCAGTACAACCACTCCATATTATTAGCCAATTACAGTCCACAATCACATGCACCAAATATGTATAGATCCAGTCAAACCATTTCAACCATATAACCTCAAGTCAGGAAAAAAAACCCTAAACCATAGAATAGATGAAAGAGTAAAAGAACAAGAAAACGCTGAAACAATTAATTCGAGGGTAAGAAATGAGTTACGTTGCTAGATTAGTAGGAGAATCAAGCTACGGCGCACAGCTTTTAGCGCTCTCAGCAGGAAGGGACTCAGATCTCTGCCTTTTTTTGCCACAGGCGACATCCTTTGCCCTAGATCTGACATCAGCCACCCCCTCTTCAACGGCTTTAGGAGGCGAAAGGGCAGGAAAAGGGGGTTCATCATCATCGCTGTCCAGAATGATGAATTCTGGAAGAGTTTTGGTAGAACCCTCACCAGCCTTACCTAGATCTGGGTTCTTAACAACACAAGGCTCATCATCGGACTCATTTGGGGCCAGTTTCGCACCCCCCCTGTCCTACGCTTCATATCCAGGTACATCGCAGAACGGGTTCCAATCAAACGCATCTTCCCAGTGCGACGTTGACACTTATAGGTAGCAATGACGCCGAAATCTGGGTTTTTTTTTGTCTGAGGAACTCATTTTTCTGGGTTTGAAGTTGAAGAGAGAGAATCGCAAAGATTAGGGTTTCAAGTTGAAGAGAGAGAAACAGAAACGGGCACTGCTTTGGGAGAAGGCAGAAACTTCGAAAATGAAAAAACGAAACATAATAAACGTTGGAAGATGTAAAAGAAGGGGGATGAACACAGGCTTCATTAATGGAGGTGGTTGGGAGCTGAATTGATGATGGTAGGTGAGGAAGTTAGGGTTCCTGAATTGTTGATGGAAAAAGGGGGAGGGGATTTTGATTTTTGGTGCGAATGATTAGGTTAGGATGTTAGATTATAGGGTTTATTAATCATAGTTAGATTTTAGGTTAGTATATAATCACTTTTTTTAAGGGTAATTTTGTAATTTTACATTGCCTAAACTTACTATAAAAGGAAAAAAAAACTTGTTGTAAATAATATAAAACATCCACTTTTAGTAATTGTTGCAAATAATAAAAAACGGAGGAAGTATATAATACTCTATAAGATATGTAAGTTATGATAAGATCAGACAAATAAAAGTTTAGTTACGGTCAAACATAAATTTCGTTGCAGTGAAGTATATACATTATGCTATATTGAAAATAGGTTAAGTTATTTATGAGTTCATTTTAAATCAGATGAACAAGAAAAAACTTTAATACAATTAGGTCATGGTTTGTGTTTTAAAGGAAAATTAAAATTCTATTTTACTTTATTTATTTATTTGCAATTCATTAGTTGTAATAGCATGTCTTGTGTACAGCTGGCCACACCATGTGGCCGCTTGTAAAATTATAAAGTAACTCTTATAACACTGACTGAGTAAACCATGTAATATTGATGAAGTAACCTTTATAACAATGATGAGTAACACCTATAATAATGACGAAGTAACCCATGTAACACTAACCGAGTAACCCCTATAACACTAACAAAATAACCCAGATGATGGTTGGTCATGTATGGGTATGGCTGACCACGTATATGTGTAATTCTAACTATACTCGTGGTTTTCAAATTTTATTTTTGGAAAAGGAAAAATACACTTTAATAATCCCAACTTTGACCAATTTATTTTGAATAATCGCAACTATCGATTATTCGACAATAATCCCAACTTTAAATTCAGTTTTTTTTCTTCAATCCCAAAAACCAGCTACCTACCGAGAAGTTTTTTTTATAATAAAATTCTTAATATGCCATGTTTCACCCATTAATTGGTAAAAAAAAACAAAAAATCAAGTTTTAAAAAAACCCAACTCACCACCCCCAATCCCAGTTCCGCCTACTGGAATTCACTCCCTCTTCCCCAGCCGCATCCCTAACCCCACCGGAAACCACCCCTCTCTCCTCCGCCTTCAAAACGGACCCCACCAACCACCTTCTCCAGCCCCAAACCCCACCTCTTGCCACAACCCCAAATCACCACCTTCTCCAGCCACCCAAGCCGGAAACGACTCCCACAACCAGCTGCACCCCCGAAACCGTCTAAAACACCTAACCCTTGCCCATGAAACCGCCACTACCCCCCAAAACCGCCCATAACGGGTTTGGAGTTATGGGCGGTTTTGGGGGCTGGGGGTGGTTTCACGGGCAATGGTTAGGTGTTCTGGCCGGTTTCAGGGGTGCGACTGGGAGTGGGAGTCGTTTCCGGCTTGGGTGGATGGAGATGGTGGTGGTTTAGGGTTGCGGCAGAAGGTGGAGGTGGTGGTTAGGGCTGGAGAATGTGGCTGCCAGATTTTTTTTTTTCAATTTTTTTTTGTTTTTTTTTAAAAATTTGAACCACTCACACGCTGACACGTGTCAAACAACCTACAATAATAGGTTTTTAACTTTTGTTGATCGGTTGGGATTGAAGAAAGAAAAATAAGGTGAAAGTTGGGATTATTATAGAATAATCAATAGTTGGGATTATTCAAAGTAAATTGGCCAAAGTTGAGATTATTAAAGTACCTTGGGTTTTTGGAAAAAAAGGCTTTAGCTTTCAAAATTATTGGATTAGCCTGAAGAATAATTACTTAACTTTTTATGTGTGTTATTTTCATAAATACAACTAAGTCGCCGTATTACTTATCCTAATTTGATAAACTATTCTACAAGTAGTTTAGGTGATATATGTTCCCATTGAAGATGTAATAGTTATGGACTTTTGTGTTACTTTTTATGAAATTTAAATATGATATCAAACCTCTTGGTGTTTTCCTAAAAAAAAGTTAAGAGAATTGTTTTCTCTCCCATCACATGTACTGTACTCCGACTTAATTTATTGATTTAGATTTAATCTCTCGTTATTGGAAAGTTTTGTTTGTCTTAGTTGTCAATTTTGTTCTTTGAAATTTTCCTTTTGTTGATTGTTCATTTGTTGTGTAACTTTAGCTGCTTTACTACAGCTTTACGCTTGATTAGCTTATTAGCTAGATTAGGTAAAGAACCTTATTCAATTTTATTACATTATTATTACTTCATTTCCTTTTATATTTCTCGATGATTAGTCAAGAGCTCTATTCAAGTGTTGATTTGTTACACTTACAAGTAGTTATTCAATCAAAGTCCATGGATCTAATTTGAAGAAATAAATTTAACTCATTGGACTTCATTTTTCCTTTTTTTGTTTCCCTTATTTTGTCGCAAATTAACTTGCCTAAAGCTTTGTTCACTTCAGAGTATGTAAACAAGTTTCATAAAGAAAAAGTTTTATAAAGTTAAATAATGAACTAATAAGTCCAATCGTAAAAAAAAATTCATCAACAAAACTAATTAAGCTCTTCATCAAATGTTATTTCATTAATTTACGGAGTAGTAATATAAGTGGTCAATCCTAGCTAATCTCTCCCTAGCCTCCCTCCTCCTCCATCACTAGATTTGACTTTTTTGGTTAGTTGGCTCGAAATTTGTAAAGTTTTATCGTTAGAAGAAAAAAATTGAGAATTCTTAAAAGTTGAACTAAACACACCCTTACTTAACAATAAAAATATTAAAAAGTGGGACATTATAACTTTTACAGTTGTACGGATCGGATTTAAAAATATTACTTGTACTAAAAACAAAAGAAGGTGGGTTGACCCGACCCGCTAAATTAGTGCTCCAACTTTTTTCTGCTGAGCTAAGACCCAAAATATGCAGCAACATATATATTTTTTTCCAATAATAACTCCCCCAAATTACTTGTATGATATTCATTTGACCTACAAAAAACGCACTTCTCCTTCTTCCTATCTGATCATCAATTCTCAGGTACTATTTTTGTTCATAAATTTATTTCTCAACATTATATTATATTAATTAGTTACATTTTATAATTGCATTTTCTGTTTTTTCTAGTTACATATATTTCATTTTTCTTCTTTATTGTATTTTTTGTTTTTCTTTTTTTTTAAATTTTACACATTGATGTAGGTTTTTTCTGAGATCTATAGCAAGATAGTTATTAGCTTTACTAATTCGGTTTGTAATATAAATCGAGAAAATATCAAAAATGGGAAGAGGAAAGATCACGATCGAAAGAATCGATAACTTGACAAGCAGGCAAGTAACTTTCACTAAGAGAAGGAAAGGGTTGTTCAAGAAGGCTAAGGAGCTTTCGATCCTTTGCGACGCCGAGGTCGGAATCATTATCTTCTCTAGCACCGGCAAGGTCTATGAAATTGCAAGTCATTGGTATGTTTTTCATCTATTTACCTTGTATTTTTAATTTGCATTACTTATTATAACTTTGTTTTTTGGGTGTTGTTTTTTTCAAGGCAATATTCAACGTTACAAAAATTGTTATTTTTATATAAAAAATTAAAATAAAATAAAATAAAAATTATTTTTAGTAAGAGACCATTTTTTTCTTGTATTAATAATCCGTATTAAGATCTTATACGGAGTATACCAAGATGAACGATTTATTATCTACATGTTAATTAAACATCCAAAATAAGATGCAAATTTAAATAAGTAAAAAGAATTGAAATTGGGGAATTTATTTATTTATGTTTTTTTTTTATTTTTTGAAAGAAGCTCAATGAACAAGGATTAATTTAAATCAAGGGAAATCGACCTCGTATTAAAAAGGATTGAAATTGGGGAGTATACAGTACATGTACTTCGTATGTAAGAGATCAAGACAATTAGGCAAAATTGGTACATAAGATCAAATAATTCTATTATTTATTTACAACTTAATAGTATTATTAAGTGTTAGATGATCGAAGGAATCTCTAAGAGAAGATAACAATATAATGTATTATTACATTAACATTTCAAATGGATAAGATCAAAACATGACCCAATTAATTATAATCGGGTCCATTTCATAATGGATAATGCGAAGTATATATCAACGGCCATTGTTAAGGATTAATTTATGAAGAAAAGAGAGCTTGGTGAATGGTGATTAATGAGTCCAGTTCTAGAGATTATATATCATCAATAGTTTGTTCATTAGCAAGGTTTTAAGGTAATGTTGTATAGCTTTGGCAATTACTATTCCAACATTAACAATTAATCAAAGTTTAAATTCTCGCATAGAAGATTAAGAAATGATCGATTGATGCTATTTTCAAACTATAGTTTTATTGTTTATATCATTCTCAAAAAACACTTAATGATGATGAGACTGTATTAGAGACTGAGTTGGCCATGGTCTTAAAAACCCAATTGAACCCTATCAGGCTAGTTCGTCACATGAAAATTATCAAATTTGTAATATATATATGAAGTACATACTTGTATAGTTGTATTAGTGTGCCCTCCTTCGAGCCAAGTTTGGCCTTGCCTTGCTTTGCACCTAAAACATGAGTTTTGAAATTAAATCGAAGGAAAGCATATTTAACCTTTTATCTATCTACCTCAGTTTATAGATCGGCCTATAGTTGATTATGCCATATTAAATTATGTATGGAGTACTATATTACTTGCACTTGCATTATTGTTTGGCTTATGGCATCTTGTTTTATGGTTTAAGGATCCGACATTCGAGTTGAAGATTTTGAGGGTAGTTTGTTGCCTGATTCAGTTATTAAAATTTTCTAACAGATATGAGGTTACGTTTGTGCTTACGTATCAAATCACATGACAACGAATCAAATAAAGCTTTACATTTACACTTAGTTCAAAATCTCCTTTATTTATTTATTTTTATTCTTTTCATATGCAATACTTTAATAGATCATTATATTTTAAGCTCATACCCATACATCCATTATTCATCATCATGGATCTCATACGATGGATAACCAACATTACACTCGTAATTAGTGGGTTTATTTACGAGGATTAAGCTTCCATGATTAATTTATTGGCTCTTGAATGATAACTAGAAGAGGAAGGATTCTAGTCAGTTTTTTTAGATGATCAAAACTTCCAAACTACTTTTAGTATGATTTTATCTAACTAAAGTTTCTCAGATATTAGGCATATGATCCATTTACTTTTAAGGTATCAACATTATTGGATCATCTGATAATCTGATATACCATGACAAAAATGTATCATCACAAGCAACTATTTAGAATACTTTCATATAATTTCAAAATACTACTCGACCATTTTATTTGATGAACCATAAAATTAAAGCGCGGTACAAGATTAAACCACAAAAATTCTAACCTATGTGATTTTTATAGAAGGTGTCGTGATAAAGAGTCTAAGCCCTAGCTGGAAGCCAAATTTCTTTTATTATATGTCAAAAAATATATTAAGTTCATAAACTAAATAATAATTTCATGTAATTTGTATTTTACTATTATTTGTAATCTTTGTAACATTGGAGCTAGTAAAGTCCCTTTGAGTAGTTTAGTGAATTTATTTTGTCGTTTGTAATTTAATTTTGTCTATTAATTAAAACCATGTTAACTTATTTTTTTTTTTGAAAAAGTCAAGCTGATCAATTTCATTTGGTGCTATGTTTTTAGCATGCAGTCATTGTTGGAGCGTTACTACAAAGCAAATGAGGAGAATCAAGTGCTCAATCCTACTTCTGAGGCCCAGGTTTCTTTTCTTTTCTTTTTTTTTTTTTTTTGTACTCTCATTTAATTTACTAGATGTTTAATTAATAAGGCTAAATTAGCGTTAATGCGTTATTAACTAGAAGTCGATTGGTTCAAATAAAAAAATTAGGAAGTAGATCATTACAAATTTAGTCAGCGCTACATTATTTAGCACGTTCCTCAACGAGTAATCACATGGATGATTATGAGTATTTTGTACTTGATGTAAGTAATTGTTTGAGTAAGAAGTAGCTCATGAAAGTAGTGGGTATTTTATGCTAAAAATTATTAACATTTCCTATAAATTCCAGTTCATGGAAAATTCTAATGAGTGCACTTCTTAGGAAATGAATCTATTTGAGAAGTACTATTCTTGGAGAATTGAGAAATGATACTTTATTTCGATGCCAGACCAAAAAGTTACACATTATTATTGTTTGGTTGGTTATGAGAAATTGCATCCTGTACCTGTATGTACGAGAAGTTTCTATTACTTAGGAGTTAGGACTAAAGGAAGGGCGACTACATAAGCTTCAAAAATAATTTCCCAATTAGTTGCACTTATTGTATGTTTCTGTCAATCAAGCGTCTAAAGGCAAACCACAAATTATGCTTTGTATCATTTTATGCACTCTTCTTAATAAGCGGATCATTTTGAGGCCTTGGAGCATATGCATCACATCTATTGTATATACACCGGTTTGGTGCACCTATATGATTCTAGGAATAGGTTTGCATAAGACCGGCAAAAGGTGCATTTAGCGTTTTTATGTTTTTGAAGGTAGTAAATAGTATATCTAAACTTTGTCATGCCTATTTATTTTTAAGTACACCCAAGTGTATAAAATTATAACGTACATAACTGATCAGGCCTAGCCTTAGTTTCTGTAATCTGTGAATTGAATCATTAGAAACTGACGCAAATATGTACTAATTTCAATCTGGAAATTTACAGTTATGGAAGGTTGAAGCGGAGGGTTTAAGGCAACAGCTAGAGGAGTTGAGGAAGAACAGCAGGTACCTCATTCCCATACCATAAACTTCTTAATTATGAGACAACTTAATTATATAAGACATATAATTAAGACATCAAACTTTTTATATATCATGCTGTATAATTAATTAAACTCCCAACTATATATGCAACTAATTTAACATATAGTTCCATATAATTAACTTCAATTTAGTAATGAGTTGCACATAAGATAATATTAGGACACTACGTTTTTTGAAGGGAGGAACTAGGACACTACTTAAGTGATTTATAGGCATTTACTTTGATAAATGTTTGATTAACCTATAAATAAAATAGTGGCATAATTTGTTATGTGATGAATTCAGGTTGTGAAATGTAATTTTAAATACATGATAGCTTCATGATGTTTTGCTTTGTTAGATCAATATTGTTATTTTCTATAACTAGCTATAAACTACTGTTGTATCGTACAACAACCAGTGTGCGTGCATGGTACAATAAACAAGGCCGTCTCTTAGGTCATTAGGTTTATTTGGGTAATAATCTCCATAGATATGAGATTGCGGGATTACAATAACTAGTCTATGATTGCTGGTAACTAACAACTTTGACTAAAATATATCTTCACAAATACTTCGTATGCTCATAGGATTTATATTGGACTTAGTATAGTCGTACGATCTTAAAACATAGTTAGATTACTGAGATTTTGAGGTTAGGAACCATCATATGATTCATAACCTTCCTAGACCCAACTTCTACCTAGCCAGATACCAAACCTAACTAGAATGATACCAATCAACTTTCGTAATTCGTAAATACAACCAACCAATATATAAGTAGGAAATTAAATAGTCTAGAACAAGGAACGAAATGCATTAATTACAAAGTGTTCATACAATCCTTAGAATATTTTACCACATCACAGATTCGTGCTTAGCACATAGGATCACCCCAAACAGTACATGTGTCCAAGTTGTAAACAAACTTCTACGAACACTGAACACACAATCTAGATAAGCAACTTTCTTCAATTTTTTTGACAAGAACTTCCTTCATTTAGTGGAGGATAAAACTTCTTGGTAAGTATAACTTTCTATGCTTTTGTCAACCATTTAATACTACAACCTCCCACTTCTTATGAACTTCTACTTCTCATATTTGATATATCATGAAATAATGAATATTTCATGAAAATGCTTAAATTAAGAAGTCGTTTTTTAAAGTAGTATGGGAATTTTTACTTATATCTTACAAAAATTTGAAATGTCATAGAGATTTTTCCAAAAATAGCATACTATTTCATTATGAAATATACAAATTTCTAATTTGATATATACTCATGGATTGGACATGAAGAATAAATTAATGCCACATAATTTGGAAATCAATCGTCTTTTAGGATTTACAAAATTGCTCGGTTATATAAGAAACGAGTTATTGTGAATTGCAGCTAGCCAAAAACAGTACATGTAGTACGTACCACAACTTCAAGCTAAGCAACAAACTAAGTGTTTAGTTAGCTGAAGATCAATCAACAAGCAGGGATTTGATGAAGAAGATCACGACGAATTATAAGAACGTACATGGAGAGATGTTATTGAATGCATGCACTACTACGTACATAAAACAAATGTCCTCAGGAGATGTCAACTAGCTTAGCTAGTGTGGTAAAAGCAGATGTCTGGATTTAGAATCCATTTTTGTCGATTTTATGAATTTTTGGGGAAACAAAAGATAGAGGGAGAAAGAGGGAAAGAGTCTTTTAGTTAAATTCATCATTTTTGTTTTGCAGGCAATTATTGGGGGAAGATCTTTCAGAACTAAGCATTGAGCATCTGGAAACCCTAGAGGCCCAGTTGGAGATGGGCACTAAGGCCATACGTTCAAGGAAGGTGAAATTTCATTCTATATATATATATATTTTTTCGAGTAATTATATTTTTTTAGGAAAATGTTATATATAGCCCTTAGGATTACATATAAGCATTAATAAATACACATTAGAAAATTGTATAAATTTAGGAAATCATAAAAATATAAATACTAATTACACTGATATACCCGTGTTTTTGTTAAGAATTCCTACTTTTATACTCGTATAATTTTCAAGAGTTTATTTAATACTTATATATAACCCTTAGGGCTACATATAATATTACCTTATTTTTTATAATGTTGTTTTATTAATTTAAAATTAATGATTTTACTAAATTACGTGTGGCAAAATCATAATGTGTATTGTGCAGGAGGAGATTTTCCAAAACAAGATACAAGAACTTAACAAAACGGTAAGTTTTATAGTTTTAAGTTTGCATTTTAGTTGATGCTTGGATTGATGTAGAAAATTGTCACTCACTTCTCAAGAATTTTCATTTTTCGAAATTTCCTGGAAGTGCAGAAAACTGTTTGGTTGACTGCAAAAAGTTACTTCCAGTGGGTAGTTTCCCTAATCAATTAGGGGATTTAGGTAAGCAATTGCATTTTGTAAAATCAATTTCCCTACCCCTGATCAATTAGGGGATTTAGGTAAGCAATTGCATTTTGTAAAATCAATTTCCAAAAACAAATATTTCAATAATTTGGTTAAACAAACTTCAATTCTTATCCTTTTTTTTTATGTCAACAAAAAAAAAGGACCTAAGTAATGCATTTTGTATACACTACCTCCGTTTTTGTATGTGCAACAAAGGAATGTTTTATATCTCACAAATAATACCCCTATGTTGCACATATTAAGAAACGGAGGTAGTAATAAAATTTGGGACAAAACTAAGTTTTAGATCAATGCATGGCAGGAGATCCTCGTGCACCAGGAAAACATGGAGTTGCACAAGAAGATTAATCTCATGCGTCAAGAAATGATAGAATTGCAGAAGAAGGTTGAGCTCAATGACACCAATTATTCTATCCAGGTCACAACTTCAGTTTGCTAGTGCTGTAACTTAGGTCGTGATAATAGCCTACTCCATCTACGTATTCTGTCTGTCTCATTAAGAATTTAAGATTGTCAACAATTAAAAGAAAAAAGAAAAACAAAAAAAAAAACATGTGCTTTCAAGTGAATCAGCTCTTGAGAAGCAAATAAAAGGATACAGAGTATGAGACAATTTTAGTGGGACGGAGGGAATATTTATCATGATTAGACAATCACAAATGTTATTAGGGTAGTGACTAAATAAGTAAATAGGATATAGAGGGTAGTCAATGGGCCAGGGTATTGGATCGGGTTAGTTCAAGCTTATCCAACCCAACCTGGCTACTATGTCCGGACTAATAATGACTTGGACCTCCCCTCTTAGGCCCATTAGCTTAGTTCAATTCAATCCAACTACAAAAATTAACAATAAGTGAGCATGATCATATAAGAGGCACTAATAAATTTGCATGAACTTTCAGGTTTCTGGAGGACAAGGAAGGGATGATCAGGAAGGAGGAATCTCTAGCGGCGGGGCGGCATCAGCATACGACACCTATGATCCCATTGAGCTCAAGCTAAGCTAACTGAAGAGACCATGTAAATGGTACAAGCTAAGCTAAGTTTTAAGCAGTGACATGTGATCAAGTTGTTTTAAATTCTATACGAACTAGCATTTAAGATTGTATCCACTTTTAAGCCCAATATAAGCCCGAAGGGCTTTTTAATTGGGTTTAGGGCCGTGAAGGGATGTTAAGGTGCATGCCTGAGCCTATTGCTAGTATGTTTTTAAGAGGACTATTGTTAAGTTATTGTTGTGTGACATTAGTTGTGATGTACTGATGTTGTGTCCCATTTTGTTATTTTTCCTTTAGACGATGGAAAAATTTGAGGGTGATACTGCCTCGAGTGAGATTGAGATTTAATTTTAGCTGAATTTTAATATTTTCAGACTCGGTTTTAGCTCCTAACTTGACCTAGATTTTTTATACGTTATAAATTGGTTTTTTTTTTAATGAACTAGGTGAAATGAATAGGGTTTTTAAAAGCCCTATTTAAGACTAGTTGACAATAGAAGAAGTAATCCTATTAGCTTACTACTCGATTCATATTTGAGTTACCTCAGTACTATCTTTTTAATTTATTGTGGTTTTAATTAACTACATTAAATCAATGACATTCCATATAATATATATACAAACCTATTATTATCTTTTAATCTAATTCCCTTTAGCCAAAGAAAAATAAAAAGGTGTGGCCTGTTGCCAACTCAGCAAAAAAAAAAAACAGAGTTATACGTGCATAACGGGGTCTTATACTCACGCGCAATTTCAAGTATCCCCTAATTTCAAGTAACCCCCAATTTCAAGTAACTCTTAATTCAAGTAATTCATATTATAAGTAACCCCTAATTTCAATTAACCCATAATTTCAAGTAATCCATAATATAAGTAACCCCTAATTTCAAGTAACCCCTAATACTCAAAACATAAAACAAAAACAAGTAACACATTAGAAGTAACCACTTTTTTTTTTTTTTCTTTTTTTTTTTCTTTTTTTTTTAAACAAAAGTAACCCCTAATTTCAAGTAACCCATATTATAAATTTTCCCTAATTTCAAGTAACTAATACTATCAGTAACCCCTCAACAGTTAATCCATATTATAAGTAACCCCTTTTCTTCATCTTTTTTTAATAAATCTCCTTCGAAGCTACTCCAATGGCGCCGAAGAAGACGACGACAAACAACCCCAACTCCACCAAATCAATCCAGAAACCCAGCAACCCAGTTTTTATGCTTTTGTTGCGGAATTGTTTGAGAATTTTGCCAAAAATCGCACGTAAAAACCTCAAAAATCGATTTGGGGTTTTCAAATTACTTGCTCTCTGTGTAAATTTCTTGCATGAATTTGTTTTTTTGTTAATACCAATCATTCTCATGAAAAGTAGGAGAGAAAAATCAGCCTCATAGAAGGTAGGAGAGAGAAAAACATGAGAAGAGGAATACAATGAGGAGTAAGAAGTGACAAAACAAAAAAAAAAAAAAAAAATTGTGGCTGGCCACGTATAAAAATTTGTAAAAATAAAAATAGAGCTACAAACCCACTGCCTACATGATGTCCACATACAGTATTAATGGAAAACTTCAAATACATACTAATATTCCTTAATGACTGAAAGTATATACCACTACAATTGAATATTTGAATTTGATAAAAAAAAAAAAAAACAATTGAATATTTGAATTGAGCAACTAAACAAACACATAAACCTAATTTATAGGGACTACTTTAAATCAATAATCCTACAGCCAACAGTATGTAGGGTTAGGATAAGAACGAACATTGCGTTCTTCATAATGTCTAGCTTGTTTGAATCGCGACCGTATAGGGTTAGGATAAAAACGAACATTGCACTCTTCTGTTCTTCATTATATCTAGCTTGTTTGAATCGCGGCAGGTTGGGGCCAAATTAAACCAATACCTCAATGAAGGACTTACATAGCTTTCTACAACCATTTACAATATGGTAATAAACCATATATATGAGCTCATCTCTATATTAGATTATTAGGCAATAAGCATGAGTTATATTTTATACATTCAGTCTTCCTCACTAATTATAACACTTTTTGAGAAGTTAAATGACATTTGTATTGAGTTACATAATTATTCTATTTTAATTGATCGATCTAAAATTCTAAATGCTCGTTTTTGTTTTCTTCTTGCAAAAGGAACTTAATTGAATGTAAGAGTCCATTATAATTAGTCTATTTTAAAGGGCCGGGTAACATCTTTTACAAAGTACAAAGCACAGTAAGTATCCACCATTATTACGTTTTATGATTGTGGGCAAATTAGACCTTTTTTTTAATGATAAAATTTGTAAAAAGATCCTCGTACAGTTCACTCCAATCCTCGTATCAATCAAATAAGCATCCTTAAACAAAAAGACATAATCTGAGCTCTAAGCAAGCTGAGCAGAAATTAATAATACTAATTAAATCTTTAATTACAAACTACTGTAATATGGTCACTGAATCGGTTAAGCTTTTTATTAATTTGTCTGAATTAATAATTAATTCATAAAGATATGATAGTACACCAAAATCTTCATTGATAGTGATGAATTAGAAGGAATCTCTTGAATCAATGATACTCTAAATGGAGTATGTACTGTATCCTAGTAAAACCCATTATCTTTTGTCTCTACAAAACTTTGTAAAGCCATTTTTTTCATTGATCATGTATACGAGTAACTGTGAAATACTACGCTCGAAATTTTTCTAACTAAATTAGCTGACATTTATGTGAACATAGATTTATGCATAATTGATTTTCAATGTATTTTTTTTTTTATATATATATTATAGTTGGGAGTGTATTAAATATAACTTTTGGTTAAAATTTTTCTAACTAACTTAGCTGACATTTATGTGATCATAGATTTATGCATAGTTGATTTTCAATGTCTGTTTTTATTTTTTTTTTATTTTTATATATGATAGTCGGGAGTGGATTAAATATAACTTTTGGTTATAGATCATCTAATTATCTCGATATATTTGAGGGTGATATTGGCTCGGATACACATTCATAAAATTGTAAATGATATGAGTTTATACTTCATCTCTACCTAAAAAGGGTTGCAATAAATGATTCAACTCCTTAACTTTAACATGTTACCTCATTTTATTTTTTGGTATTTAGAGAGCCATATTACTACATTTTATGAGCTGAATGTTCTTTTAGAATCCAGTGTAAAGTTCTCCAAGTATCTTCCATCTAATATTGGTCAAATATATAAACAAGTACACGGTCAAAATAGGAAACCCTTTCTTCTTACCTTTTTTATTAGTACTAACTTTGATGCAATTGATCTATGAACCTAAATGAGCTCTTTCCCACGCTAATACGATCTAGTAATTCGGAAGCAAGTTTCCCTGTTAATGAAGGATGACAAACTCAACTAGGCATATATTACGCCATAGCTTAATACTACCTGATTAGGGGATTTTGCTCCCACCAATCGGAATGCGCCACGTGGGCCAATCAGGTCCTGCCAAGTGTCCCCCAGTTGGACCTCTCAGGGCTTGCCACGTGGCACACTCTTATTCGTCCACCCTGAACCTATTATGTCATGACACGTGGCATACTCCATGCCTAATGGAGAAGTCGACCACCTAGGCCCAACTTCCGAGTGAAGCCCAATCAGCCTAAAGTTAACCTAAACCTAGGATTGGCACGGTTCCCGAGGTTATAAATACCTCCCTTAATCCTCATTAAGGGGGATTACGCAGATTACACACATTAAACACTCTCACCTAGAGAGACCCAATCACTTTAATTTCCGCATTAATTACTCCTTAATCAAGTACTAACTTGACCGTCGGAGGCGGATCTCCAATCATCCGGAGCATCCGTTTGTTTTGCAGGTACAGGCGTTCGGTTCCAGTCTCGGAATTGTAACTCTCCCGCAGGACATCAGAAAACCCCCAAACATTTTGGCGCCGTCTGTGGGGAGAGTACTTCTGAGATGGCATCCATGTCTGTACCGACTCCTGAAGAGAGACGTCCCTTGGACGACCCTCTAGTTTAGTCGGACCACGATACTGAGAATGAATTTGAAGTTGAAGCTCACACAGCTTCAGACAAGACCCTAAGGGCCCGACGTACCCGTCATATCGAAAGGAGGGAATGGGAACATCTTCAAACTGGAAGTGAGCCAGCAGGCGCACCGCCTGTTCGGCAGCAGCCGACCGATGGGTCTGCTCCCATCACAAGGAACGAACTCATGACCTTCATGAGGGACTTCAAGGGAGAAATTCAAGAGTTGATCAACAAGAAGCCGCTTGCTCTGGACAAGGAGCAGTCGGCTAAGAAACCCTCCACTTCACGGAAGAGGAAGCCAGTTCAAGGGCGAGAGGCGACCCCTCATCCTAAATCTAGGAAGTGGGAGCCACCTGCCCTTGATTTCACAAAATACCATTTTCCTACTCCAGGAAAGAGGAAACCTAATTGTCATATTCAGGCGGACGGGTCGAGGAAAACATACACAGATGCTCGGCTACTGCTAGAGCAGAAGAAGAGGACCGATTGTCAGAGTCGACCTCTACTTCAAACTTCCAAGACAGTCTGCGCAATACCTCGATGAGGCATACTCAGTCGTATCATGAGAGTCAGTCAGGCGGCACCTCCCGTCAGTCCGGCTTTCATAGCGACCAGGCGGTACCAAACTTACCGTTTGTACCGCAACAACAATATTTTTTGCAGCCACCTCCGTTTGGTGGACATGCAGCAAAAAATGTCCAACCTATGGACTGGCAGCTACGGTTGCTTAGACTTGGCGAACAGCCGTCTGCCTTCTCCAAGGAGATTACTGAAGCCGCTCAGCCGGCCAAAGTGAAAAATGTATTAGTAGGCGCCTATGACGGCACTACTAACCCAGAAGACCATCTGATGGCATTCACCAACCTGATGTACCTTCAAGGGTTGGATGATCCCACTTGGTGCAAGTGTTTCCCAGCGACTCTCAAAGGAATCGCACAACAATGGTTCGGCAACCTGCCGACTGGTTGTGTAAATAACTTCAGGACGCTTACTTACTTATTCACCTCCAACTTCGCCATGAACATCCCTGCGAAGAAGACGACCCTTGATTTAGGAACGATTCAGCAGGGCGAGAAGGAGGGGCTTCGTTCTTACATCAGGCGGTTTAACCTGATGAGAATACAGATTCAAGGGTTACCGGATGAGGTAGCCTACACTGACTTTTTCAGAGGTCTCAAAGACGGGTCGACCTTCAAATTTGATTTGGTCCGAAAGAGGGTGGCGACTCTTCAAGAGGCCTTGATTGAAGCGGAAGCCTATATACAGGCGACTGAACTTTGTAGTACGGTAAAAAAGTCAGACGGGAAAAGGTCCGACAAAAGAGAAGGAAGACAGAAACAG